AGTGTTGGGCCATTGCGCTGCTGCGCGCATGGCTTGGATCTTGGCAATTGCGAGTGGTGCTTGTCCTCCTGGACGACTGCACGCTGAATGTGTAGCTGTCGCAGTAAGTGCGCCGCAGATGCTTGCAAGGCGGTGCCGCGTCGTGAGAAGCTCGGCTGCTTGGGCGGCATGTGGAGCGGTTGGTGCGAGTCCGGTTTGACGGCGTCCATGGGCTTGGTCAGCTTCGTGCAACTCGCGGCATGGAATGCGTGAGTGGTCAGCGGTGTAGCATGGGGGTCGGGTCGTAGTGGTGGGCGCGGTAGGTGCTGCTCGCCGTCGCGGTGCACGGGGATCTTGCGATTGCATGACTTGGGGCATCTGTGCCACCCAGGCAGAATTGGGTGGTCGTTGGGGAACTTGAATGTGCATGTGTTGGTTGCCTCTTGGTAATAGACTGCATGGTGCCAAATGCCTTGTCCCTGGGCGTCTTCGTCTGAGTCGGCGCAGTGGCAGTGGGCGGTCCAGCCACTGGGTAGGTGCATGTCATGGTATCCGTTTTGTTCGAGCAATGATCGACAAGCGTCGGGAAAGTCAGATGCTCGGCTCATCTTGGCCCATGGGTCGTCTCTGTCGCCGCTTGTGTCCTCTGACGTTGAAATGTCGCAACCTTCGTGCCCGTCGACTTGCCATTGGGCCGTTGGCGCGTCGTCGTTCTGCGTCGGCGGCGCTGGCATCCGCGTTGGCTCGGGTGGAATGGATTGGAGGCTATCCTCGCATCTTATGTTGTCGTGTTTCGCAATATTTTTCTTATGCGTGAGGATGAGCGTGGTTTGCTCTGGCGGTAGCATTCTCTCCAGACCATTTCACGTGAATCGCGACTCCTCCAGGTGGTCGTAGAAGTCCTTTTCGATCTCGACTCGTTCTGCAAAAGGTTGTTCTACTAGTGCGTCGTGCCCGCCGTTCGGTGGTAGGTCGGCTCGGAATCGGAAGCCGTCTTGCGTCGGCATGCACGTCGGTGGGTCGCATGTGACCCGGTCCATGGGGGCGCGGTGGGACGTCGGGCGGCTCGGCCTGAATGTAGTTCGGGTTGCAGTCGTCGTGGGTGACGTATTTGCTCGGGCACAGCTCTGTGATGGGCATGGCTCCCACGCTTCCGATCATCAGTGGCCACTTGGGATTTTGCCTGGTTGGTGATTTGCGCTCGCAGTGCGTTGGAGGTGTTTGGTCTGATCGCGTCTTCTAGCTCGACGGGCTGCTCGCGCGTGATTGGCGGGGCGATGCGGCGCTGGCTCTTCTCTGATATGCATGTCGCCCATGGTGGGCTGGGGTCGAGGCGCCTGATGCGCGCGCTGCGTCGGCCACGTATTTGGTGAGCGCGAGTAGCTTAGACCCTGATGCGACGTTGCGGTGCGCCTCTGTCATTGAGCAAATGAGATGCGCGCTTCGAAATTCTTTCCGTTGTACACGAACATCGCGTGGATGGCGCAGTCCCCGCCCATCTGGAACTCGTACCTCTTGGTGCTCTGGTGGCAGAGTGCGCTGTAATGTGCGTGCTTTTGAAGCTTTGCGTTCCGGCGCCGCCCTCATTGCAGTAGGAGCATTTAAGTCGCGCCTGTTTTTTGGCCGATGTCGTTGCTGAGCTGCCCCCATGCACTGTGTAATGGATTTTTGCGCAAACATCCCGGGTCCCCCTCGTCGTCGGTGAATGGTTGGTGGTCGGAGCTGTCGTCCGCTTTTCTGAAATCTGGCGTTTCAATCGGCCGTCGTGGCCAGCGCATCTCGAAGCGATGGTGCGAGCGCAGGTACTTCTAGCCGGTAAGAGCTGATGTGAGCCGATCGCATAATAAGTTGAAAATGTGCTTGTTGGCGACGGGCAGGCATGCAATCGTGATGTGCGTCTCTCTCATGGCCCTGGCCCAGCCCTTGCTGGTCGGTACAGGCAAGTATTCGCGGCCTAGTTGTAGTGAGGCGTAGACTAGGTGCTTCTCGATGTCGGCCTGGGTGATCATTTGCTGCCTGTCTGGCTCGACATGTGCGCGCAATGGTTGCGCGCAGCCTGGGCCGTCTGTGGACGGTGTAATTGTGCGTAGTAGGTCGGGTCTGTGTTTTCGACCGTGGGCATGTAACCGTGGGGGTGAAGTTCCGCTTCCTACATCAATGCGCTAATCGGTCACCTGTCGGTGCAGCGAGTCGATCTGGTACTTCCGCTATCGTGCGATGTCGTCGTCCTTCTTGAGTAACCATGTCGTGCGGATCGACGATGAAGGTAAGTTAGCGGACTCTAGTGCATTGGCCGATGTACTATCCAAAACAGCGCACGCGTTGCCTGTGGCCGGAATGCACGGGGGCAGCGTCGGGAACATCAAGCTGTAGATGCTTGCAAAGGGCGACTATGACAGCTATAGGCTTGAACCGGATGGTATCGGAGACTATGTATGAGAAGCTGTATGGGTCATCTTGTCAATTTGTCCTAGCTTCGCAAGTGTCCTCAGGTCCATGTATCGGCCTTCCTTTGACGCCTCCCCCCCAACAGGGCCTCTTGGGCCCCCGTGCAAAGAATGAGGGTTTGTGTACGACTGTGGCGAATGTGCGGTCTGATGGTGAATAAAAACCCTCTCCGGCCAAGTATATATGTCGGGTCCCTGCATGCGAACTTGGGAGCAACTGTGTTGGCTGTTTGGTCCGGTTGTGCATATGATGCCTGTCGTGGGCTTACGAATGTCTTGTCCGCGCCTAGTTGCGTCTGAACGGTGGACACGTCTGTCAGCAGTTGGGGTGCCTGCCCCATGAAAGGTCGCATCCCGTCGTGCCTCCTTGATACTCCGTAGGTATGTCCTGGTCGCGCTGGGCCTCCCCCCCGGCGTGCCCCTTGGGGCTCTCATGCGGGGTCTGAGGCAGTAGTTGTCCGCTGTTCGCCTGTATGTGCTGGGTTTTTTTTTTTTATGTTGTGGTTGCGTGGTGCTGCTTGGCGCCAGTGTATGCACTCCCCCCCCCAGGTCTGCCCTATAGGGCTCCCATGCTGGGTATGGGGCTGCCTGTTGAGTTGTGGTCGAGTCGTGGTTGTGCCGTTGATCCGCTGTTGCTAGAATGTGCTGTGTAATGCGCTTGATGCTTCGATGCTGCGTCAGTCCATTAAGTGTCGCGGGTTCCTGCGTGATTGAACGGGTGAACATGTAGGAACATGCTGTTGTACAGGTGCAACCCCTTGCAGTTCGCATTGTAAAATACGGGGACAGAGTGTGCATGCGTGTTCGTGTTGCAACAGGCAAATATTGCAGAACATATTGCAGTAGGCGTGTGGGCATCTGACCCTCTCTGCCCACATGCCAGACAAAAGTGCGCATATGCAATTATGTGGCTTCTGGATGTATAGGGGGGCGCTACCAGGTAACAAAACTGTGGGCCGTGTGTCAAAATAATGCGAATCTCGTGACGAAAGAAGCCGCGGTGAAAGAATTGAATTGATGCGTCTGCCGTATGAGCACTGGAGTCTCTGAATGTCCTGATGGTGCTTCTCCCCCAGGTATGCCCCGCAGGGCTGCCATGCAGGGTACGAAGCAATGCCCACTGCAGATGGGTGTCCTGGTCCTGCTGCTGCGGTTAGATCCATGCGAGTGGTGCTGGTGTATCGTGCTGTCTCTGTGTTGTGCTGCTTGTACCAGTATCGTGCGCCTCTCCCGTAGGTATGCCCGTCAAAGCTCCCATGCAAAAAAGGAGACGGCTGGTGTGCCGTCATCTGGTTGTGGCTGCGCGCGTTTAGAAGTAGGGGTCATGCGGTATGTATCCTTGCATGGTCCCTGGTGCGTTTGGCGCTGGGAATTGTGCTACTCGGACCGCTATGCACGTGGTTCCTCCTCCTCCTCCTCCTCCTCGTTCTCCTCCTCCTCCTCCTCCTCCTCCTCCTCCTCCTCCTCCTCCTCCTCCTCCTAGGGGGGGGGGAGCGATGCGGAGGCGAAGCGAGGCGAGCTCGAGCCATAGCTGACATCCTGCATTCCTCGCATCCCTTCCCATTTCGCCAGGTTTCCTCTACACCCGCGGGCGCGTGTCATAGCTGACCTGGAACTGCCAACAAAAAGACTCCATCGCGTCATGCGCAATCGGAAAAGCTAGGAGGTAAAGGGGCGGTGGCGGGGGAGAGAGGAAAAAGAAGCCACCTGCCCCCCTGGAGGCCAAAATGAGACAACGACGATCGCCATTGAACTTATACCACAGGTATGAAACCGAATGTGTGCGGTCGGCCCGCATCATGGTGCCCAGGCGGCGAACTGGAAACAACCACCACGCATGATTATGCTCATTGCGGCATCAACGATTACATTTGTGCGGCCAACATGTGCATATGCATGCGATCATGGGAATGCAGATTTGCATGCATGCACGCTTGTCTTCAGAAAAAAGGGGAGGAGCCACTCGAGCGGGGCAACGTGTCTAAACCAGAACTTCGCGACAACTATCAGAATTGGAACGACCCTTGACGCAAGGAGTAGCCCAATGGGATATCCCCGAAGCGCAGCGCCAAACCCTCCCCTCAGATCAAACATTGTGAACGACGTCGGGATGTGAAGGCCCCATCTTCGCCTCTGACACTGCGCACGCTCGCAATAATTCTCCACCTGCGCAGGAAGCGACTTTCCCACCGAACCAAGCAGTCCGAAACAAGAACGGCTAGGGGATCTTCTGAGCCGGGTCAATCCAGACCCGGGTCAGCAGGAAACCAAAAACTGCAATGCAGGAAAAAACTGGAATATTTCTCCACCTGCGCAGGAAACGACTTTCCCACCGAACCAATCCGTCCGAAACGAAAACGGAAGCAGGAGCTCCCTCCCCGGGGACCGCAAAACAAACATAATCTGACGATACCCGAACGTTGCGGCTGGAGGGAGGAGGAGGAGGAGGAGGAGGAGGAAGGGGAGGAGGAAGGGGAGGAGGAGGAGGAGGAGGAGGAGGAGGAGGAGGAGGAGGACTGACACACGCTGACTGGAAGTCATGAGCGGAGCAAACGCGCTACATGATAAAATGTCCTGGAAGGACTCTCGTCGCCTATGAGCGAATCCTCCAAAAAGGTCACCGTGCGGTCACTGCCTGGCGGCACTGGCAACCGCTGCCGCTCCCACGCTAACTACTCTGGGATGGGGCCCCCATGGCATTGTCTACAGGTCGCCGAGGATACGCATCCTCTAAACTCTCCGGATATAACGACCCTCAAACAAACACTCCAAACCATGGGCAGTCACGAGCCATGGCAATTCAGGCCTGGGGTATGAGATGTTGCACAAATAGTGTGCCAACCAGCTGCACTAACTCTAGCCAGAATAGTCATGACACTGCGATCAGAGGGATGGGCAGTGGAAGGCATAGACGAGACGAAGACAAAGTATGGCGATGAGAGGCGGATGAGGATGATGAGGTCAAGAATGGAAACAGAGCGGATGCGAATCAATCTGACGAGGGGGGAGGAAAACAAGCAGCAAGGATGGGGAGAAGATCTGCTGCTCACTGGGCCCATGAAGACGTGGACAGCACTTTTTCAATACATAAGCATACTGTAGCGACCGATGGCAGAGGAGACCTGAAAGGAAACAAGACCAATCCGATGCAACGCTCGCCATCGCTCGGACGTCCATGCCCAGTGCATTCTTAGATGCCGTGCGTCTCTCTCTCTCTCTCTCTTCGTAAGATGGTCCCGCATGCACCTCGATGGCCCTCGCCCAGAAAGAAGGCACACGTCCGAGCGATGCCAAGAACATGATTTTTTGTCGATGGCGAACCTTGCGGTCCCCATTCAGGGTCTTTATCAGAAACCTAAAAGGAGGCAGCAGCTGCAGCAGCGACAGACTAAAAGCTATATGGCTGGAGAAAATTCCAGGGCGGCCCGGATGTGGCCCGCAACCATGGGGCCCGATTGCTGGATGAGGGTCAAGGATGGCCGAGCGATGCCAAGAACATGGTACACCAAAACGACAGGACGCGCAGCGCTCTCTAACGCGGACACGAGGGGGGGCAACGACGCGGCCCTCTCCAGGGCAGAGCAGCGCGTGGGACACGTGGCTGCCCCCCTCCCCCTGGTGAGCGCCCTCCGCTCTCCCTCCTTGGCGGCGCGCATAAGGGGGTGGAGGGAGGGGGGGAGGCTTCTTAGAAGGAGGCTGCTTCTTAGAAGGCGGCGGCCTTACATCTATACATAAGGACCGCGCCTTCTAAGAAGCAGGGGTGCTTCTAAGAAGCCTTCCCCCCTCCCCCTACCCCCCTCTGCGCGTGGCCGACCTCCGCTCTCTCCTCACGGCCGCCCGCCCGCTCCCTTCCATCCGCCCCTCTTGCCGCCGCACAGTTCCATGAGCGCTTGCCTCCTCTCGGCCCGCTCGAGCGCGCGTGCGGACTGCCCCTGCCGTGCTGCGACGCAAACACTGTCCCCCGTCCCCCGTTCCCCCTCCCCCAGGGGGTCCAACATCGGATTAGACCGGCCATCGCTCGGACGTCCACTCCCTATGCTTTTTTCGGTTCGTGCATGGTTTTTCGCCGAATGATCAAGGATGCTCCTCGATGGCCCTCGCCGAAGGAAAAATGCACACGTCCGAGCGATGCCGAGAAAAACTTACCTCCGTCCCCCGTTCCCCCTCTCCCAGGGGGTCCAACATCGGATTCGAGGGGGGGGGAAGGTCCCACCCAGACTTCCGGAGCCCGCCAAGAGCCTCAAGGTGGCCCGAGAGAGCCCGAACCGAGCGCCAACACAGCCCAAGAGAGCGTCGGGACGGCACGGGGTCGCCCCACGACGGTCCAAGATGGCTTCCAGACGGCCCACGCGCCTCCAGGACGGCCCAAAAATGCTCTAACATGACCGCCGAGAGGGCCCCAAGAGGCAAAAGTCGTCCGATTCCCTGATGGGAACGTGCATGTTTAGCATTGGCAGCGTCCAAGACGGCCCAAGGGCCCAAGATCATCCCAAAAGGGCCCATGAGGCATCCAAGGGGACCCCAAAACAGCCCAAGAGGGCCCCAAGACGGCCGCAGAGGCCCCCCAAAGGCCCAAGAGAGCCCCAAGAGGGCCCTGAGAGGGGCCCAAAGAGGGGGATACGAGCTGACAATTCGAGCCTTTCTCCCAAGATCGTCCCAAGAGCCCCCCGACGCCCTCACCAGAGGCCCCAAAAGGCTCCCACGAGGTCCCCAAGAAGCCCGGGGGAGGTCCCCAATCAAAGGCGCCAAAGAGGCCCCTGAGAGGCATCCCACGAACCGCCTGGCTGGCGCATACTCTGTCCCCTTGCGGGGCCACTGCCTTGCTCAATCTCTTCACGCCTGTCTTCTGGTTGCTGCGCCAGCCAGGCGTAATTCCATCGTCGCGTCGCTCCGTCCGCCGATCTTCGTCCGCACTGCCCACACACACGCCACAGGCTCTGTCCTAGGGCTTGCCCACCGTCAGAAAGGAGACGAAAGGGGAGGGGAGCCTGGGGCGGCAAGCCCAAGCCCGGGCCCGAGCCCGAGCTAAGAGGCCACATGCGAACCCTACCCACCACCCCACGGTTTCTGAGGGGGGAGGCGGGGCTCACTTCGCTCGGGAGGTCCCGAACGGAGTGGGCCCCACCTCTCCCCTTTAGAAAACGTGGGGTGGTGGGGTAGGGTTCGCATGCGGCCTCCTACGAGCCCGAGCCCGCCTCCGAGACTCCGGGCCCGAAAGCCCGAGCAGGGAGACCCGAAACAGGGAAGCCCGGAAGCTCGGAAGCCCAGAGGCTTCCCCGACCGCGGCGCGCAGAACACGACGGCCTTCGCGCCACCGCGGATGGCCCGGGTCGGGTCGCGAGAGGCCGCCGACAGCCGCCGAGGGTCGCCGAGGGCCGGCGAGGGGCGGCGTCGTCGTCCGCCCCCGCTGCGCCGCCGGGCCGCGGAGCCGCCTCTCGAGGCCAAGGCCGCCGCCGCGCGCTGCCCGTCGGCCAGGGCCGCCGCGGCGGCGGCGGCGGCGTCCGGGCTGCCGCCGCGTGCGGCATCGCTTGCCTCTGCGGGGCACGCTTCGCGGGATCTCCGAGGGTACGACTGTGGATTGGGTGATCTGACTGTTTCCTCGGCTTCCGCCTCTGGGGCCCGCTCTCGGGCGCCAGGACTGTCAGAAACGGTTTCCGTGCGAATGCGCATCTATATATATATATATATATATATATATATATATATATATATATATAAATATAGTTCTGTGTATGTATGTCTGTCTGTCTGTCTGTGTGTATGTATGTCTGTATGTATGTATGTATGTGTGTATGTATATATATATATATATCTATATATATATATATATATATATATATATATATATATATATATATACCAGGTAACATCGCGCGCTTCTCGCACGCGCTTAGGTTCTAACTGGTCGAAGGCTGACTGTATTGAGAGAACAAGCCGGTCATGAATAATGAGGTCAACATTCTTTGTTTCCTCCTGCCCCTTCCTCATTCCTCCTCCTCCGCTCCCATCGACCGGTCGACCGGTGATCTGTCGCCAAACGATGGGCCAGGAACAATGCAGCGCTACAGCGCCATGTTGCACTACGCTATGGCATGCCCTACGCTATGGCATGCCTCTGCTGGATCCGGGCCCCGTATAGCGCGCACCTGCCCCACGCCCCTCCCGCCACCCTGGGGTCGCGCTGGGCCCCCGTGGAGGGCCCTCTTGGGCAACCTTGGGCGCTGGAGGGACCATGTTGGCCGGGGTTGGGCAGCAATCGGGGCCATGCTGGGCTGTCTTGGCGGTCTTTTGGGTCTTCTTGGGGCTCGTTTGTGCTGTCCTGGACCTCTCTGGAACCCAGTTAAGCTTTCTTTGTGGTGCTCGGGGCACTCGTAGGCCGTTCTGGGCTGCTCCTGGAGCCATCCCAAGCTGCCTTACAACTCTATGGGGCCCTCTACGCATCACCTGTTTGAGAACTGCCGCATAGTGTGCATCTGCCCCCCGCCCCTCCCGCCACCCTGGAGTCGCGTTCGGCCTGCCTGAAAACACTCTTGGACAATCTCGGGCGCCTGGGGGGCCAGATCGGCCAGGCGTTGGGCAGCCAGCGGGGCCGTGCTAGGCTGTCTTGGCTGCTTTTTGAGCCTTCTTGGGGCTCCCTTGGGCTGTCCTGGAAATCTCAGGAAGCCTTGTGAGGCTTCTCTGTGTTGCTCGGGGCACTCGTGGGCCGTTCTGGGCTGCTCCTGGAGCCATCCCAAGCTGTCTTGCAACTCTATTGGGCCCTCTGGACGTCACCTATTGGAGCCCTGAGCCGTCCTGTCCTCCCGGGGCGCGAAGCGCAGTGCACCCTTGATGTGGGAAGGGTCGACCTACTAATCAGACTCGACTGTATGGGGTCCCGCCCGCCTTCACTCCATTGCCCAGGTTCGAGGATGGAGTTAGTGACTCGGCATGCATGGCATTCCCCTCCCCCCGCCCCTCCACGCGCCGCCTTTTGAAACAACGCTGGGCCGCACGGGCGTACAAGTGAGCCCCAGCTCGCGTGAGGTCCTCCTGCTCTTCCTCCTTCTCTTCCTCCTCCTCCTCCTCCTCCTCCTCCTCCTCCTCCTCCATCCCCCCTGCTCCCTACTCTCTCCTCCCACCTCCTCCTCCTCCTCCTCCCTCCCGTGCTATCCGTCCCACGCCCCCTCCTCGCGAAGGTCCATGCTGGGAACGCCCCCCCCGGTGGAAAGATGGGATCGCCCCGCGGGCCTGCCAAGAGGGTGAGGGCCCGGGTCTCCGAAAGAAGCGCCCTGCTGCAGCCTGACGGCCCTACAACGACACGGCTGGACCTAAACGTTTTATTGCTCGTTGTGCATTGGTTGCGTTTTCCGTTGTGCTCGACCCGCTTTCCTGGAGCTCCCCGCCAAAACGAAGACCACCAACACACGGCCGAAATCCAACAACACAACGTTTGGGTCCAACCCTGATGCAAAGCACGAGGAGGGATAACCGTGACGACCACAGACGTCGCCTCACAGTGCAACTAACTTACCGACTCCTGGTGCCATCGCTAGCGCATCCCAAATGACGTACTTCTGGAGAGAGGAAATCGCCGAGAGAAATCGTTTGCACCCACACACTAATCAAAGTAATTCCCCAGGGGGGCGGAGGTGTGCAGCACTTTCTCAAGAACCTTCGACGATGTTTCAAGGATCCTGCAGGAATCCTCGGTGATCCTCCAGGAATCATTTCGGACTCGTCCACGAACTTCAGAAATCCAATGCAATTTGAACACGCAGGAGTCCTGGAAGAAATCTTGAGGAGCTCCCAAGAATCCCCCAAGAACGGGCAGCACACCTGACAGAATTCTCAGCCAGGAGTCACTCGGGAACCCTACAGCAATCCTCTGGAATCATCAAGAATCCTCGCCCCCCCCAAAAAAAAAAAACCGGCGACTCTCCCGAGAACCCCAAGAATCCTTTAGGAATCGTCGGGCGTACTTCGCCAATGCCATGGATGGGGGGCGGGTCGACTCTCCCGAGAATCCCAGGAATCCTCTAGGAATCGTCGGGCGCATTTCGCCAATGCCATGGATGTCTTGTTTCATCATGTGTCCCGCCTGTGCGCCAGCGCGCATTCGCCTTGACAAACTGCAGCCGTTTCACGTTTTGGAAGGCGGGCGTCATCAACATGTGGCTCTCGCCCAAGCGCCGCCCGCCCGCGTCGAAGTACTGCAGAAGCTTCGCGGGTGGAGGGCGGGGCGTTCTCGCCGTGGTGCCGCGCACACTCGCTTGACAACACTCCCCCCGCCCTCAGGGCGTAGGTGACTTGAGGAAGTGTTTCTTCTCATGGCCAGAGCTCCTTTGGTCCCCCTGCTCTGGAGGGGTGACCCTTACGCGGGCTCCATGCCCCTCCTGGGCTTTGGGTGGGGAGGGGGTGGCGGTGGTGGTGGTGGTGGTGGTGGTGGTGGTGGTGGTGGTGGTGGTGGTGGTGGTGGTGGTGTTGGTGTGGGTGGGGGGGGGGAAAACACCACGAGGGGTTGGAGCGTCCATAAGGGCCAAAGGTGGCACCCGAGAGGGCATATGAGAGCGCACGATGGCATCCAACATTGCCCCAGATAGCCCAGGATGGGTAAATATAGCCTGCGCCACGTATCTAAGAGGCCTCAAAACGTGTGCATGTCTGTGGGGCCAGCACTAGCTCGAGGCCAGAAACGCACCACACTCGACGCCCACACTCGCCGAACACACTCGCGCCCACACTCCATGCCGACACTCGCACTCCCGACTCGCCTCTCGCACTCGCGCCCACACCCTACGCCCACGGTCTACGCGCACTCTCGCACCCCACACTGCACGCCCACACTCAAACCCCACGCTCACACCCCACACTCTACGTCCACACCCACACCCCATACACACCACACTCTACGCCCAGTCTACGCACACACTCGCACCCCACACTCACACCCCACACCAACCCCCGAGTTGATGTACCGAGTTGATTCGACGAGTTGATTCCTCGAGTTGATTTACAGAGTTGATTTATCGAATTGGTTTACAGAGTTGATTTGCCGACTTGATTTCCCGAGTTGGTTTGCCGAGTTGGTTTACAGAGTTGATTTACCGAAATGCTATACAGAGTTGATTTGCAGAATTGATCTACAGAGTTGATTTGCAGAATTGAAATGCAGAGTTGATTTGCCGAGTTGGTGTCCCGAACTGATTTGTGGAATTGGCTTGTACGGTGTACGGAACGCTGAGGTGACGAAATGAATTGGCGTTGACTCTTTGGGCTTTGACTTACCATTCCAACTGCGAAGTGCGAATTGGTTCCCCGAGTTGATTTCCCGAGTTGATTTCCCAGGTTGATTTCCCGAGTTGGTTTGCCGAGTTGCTTTCCCGAGTTGGTTTGCCGAGTTGATTTGCAGAGTTGATTTACAGAGTTGGTTTGCCGAGTTGGGTCCGCGGGGTGGCCTGCCGAGTTGATGTGCCACGTTGATTTGCCGCCTTGGTTTCTCGATAGGAGGTGCCGAGTGGGCTTTGCGAGTTGGCTGTCCGAGCTGTTTCCTCGAGTGCGAAGTGCGAATTGACTGCGGGGTGGGCGTCCCCGACGTAGTGCGCCGAGTTGACCCGCGTTTCGCGTTCGTTTCGGGTGGGCGCATAAACTGGGGGGCGAGTGTGGGCGCGAGTGCGGGGTGCGAGTATGAAGTGCGAGTGTGGGCGAACAGCGCGGGGGGCGAGTGCGGGGGCCAGCGCGGGGTGCGAGTGCGAAGTGCGAGTATGCAGTGCGAGTTTGGGCGTCGAGTGTGAGGGGCGGCCGCGCGCCCCGAAAAGGCTGCTAGCTGGAGAGGCGCGATCGCTGCCCCCCAGACATACACAACTCAAAACACACACACACACATCCACACACACACAGCACTGTTGAAAGTGCTCTTCGACACCCCAAGGACCCCCCATAAGGCAAACATGACACCCACACCCAACAACAAACACAATGTTGCCCGGCTTCTCGCCTATTCGCTAGCGATAGGGGTTCGAGGCCTCAAGATGACCCCCAAAGGGGGCCCTCCAAGACAGCCCGAGAAAACCCCGAGACAATCCCCCAAACCCCCCAGAACGCCCCGCCAGTGCCCCAGAGGGCCCCAAGGCGCCATTCAGGAGCCCCCCAACCAGGGGGGGCATGCCCCCCCCTTTGTTTTCGAGCATCATGGGGCCAAAATGGCCCCAGGAGACCTCGCGCACCCCCGGGCCGAGCCCTGAGACGGCTCAAGAGAGGGCCCCCTCGGAAAGAAAAGAAAACCTCAACGGTGCCCCAAAAAGCTCTGCGAGGGCCCCGCGGAAGCCTCAAGATGGCTCCAAGAAGACGCTTCCAAGACGGTCGTTAAACGGCATTCTTCTTCACGTCCCTGGCGAAGGCAAATCACCAGGCGATCTGCTTCGGGATGAGCTGGCGGGGACACGCGCAGCGTGGGCAACTTGGACCAACGTCGTGGACGGAAGGCGGGTCTTTTCATATTCATGAAAAATATTCAATGTGTTCTGATTTTCAAAATTACGCCTCGCATTAGCGCC